TGAAAATGTTTTGTTAAATATATACATATAAAACTTTTAAATATAAAAATGCTCCAAAACCACAGGGAAAAAAATAGAAAATATCAGCAGAGTCAAGATAATCTAAATTTTACAACTGAAATATGTAAAAATAGCAACAGAGGTCCTGACCACCAAATTAATTTTGTTACTAATAATATGCAATCCAGTTTGAAAAATACTGTTCTGAAACACATATTCAATTTTTCAAAACAAAACAAAATAATTACCTGCTTAGGAACTGATGAATAATCAACAGTAGTTGGCAATGTAATTTGGTCTCCACTTAATTTCCTTCCTCTGCCAGATCTAAAACAAATATGAAATAATTTATTTCAAGAACCATCAAAATAAGCATGAGTAAAAAGCATTTTGGACAGTGTTTACAGGCTTACAAATCATTATTGGTTCTAATAATTAATAACTGCTTCACTAAACTATAATGAAAAGGCATGAATCCAGACATCCTGTGAATGTCTTTAAAGTCTTGGATAGGACAATATAGCTGCTTCTTGAGTTAAGGCTTAATATTACAGATGAACTCAAGAGAAATACAAAGCCAGAAACAAAAATGCAAAGCAATTTCAAATCGTAGTCCTTGGAGTGCTATGGTCAGGGACTCTGCAGGGGAGCTCTGGACATCTCTAGCACTTTAACCAGCATGGCTTAGCTTCTCCTGCTTTACTTACTAAGGTTCTTGCTAAGACCAGCTGTTAAGCTATTTTAAGAAGTTTGAAAATCACTGGGTTGAACTGAACTGCAACTGACTTTTATGGACTAGGAGGAAAAGTACTACATTATTCAGGATGTACCACACTCAACTGTTAAGAACGTGGGCCGCAGAATCTATGTCAACCATGATGTTCAATGTTACTTCTTTTCAGTTTGGTTAGAATTGCCTAAACTCTCAACTTTAATATTCCCATCTACAAAATACCAGTATTCAAACTTAATCTTGAAAGGTGGCTGTGAGGGCTTAAGAAATGTATTTAAAATACCTAGACAGTGTCTGCTACATAGCAAGACATACAAGAAATGGTAGCTACTGCAAATTAGTGATTCTGCTTCACTTCAAGTAATCTATAAAGCATCTACTTAGAGATAACCTGTAAAGGCAATTATGTTTACTACAAGTTTAGAAGTTATATTTTATTTGTTTAAAGGATAAAGAGAGAAACACTACAGTCTATTACAAAATTTGTAACATAAGCCTGGCATTTTTATTAACACATGCTCTAGAGGTTCTTTTTGACACCTTATACAAGCTGATCCTAACTGAACAACCAATCTTAAATATATTTACACTCACAACAGAAATTTATACTGACAACAGGAAAGTCCTTAATATTTTAAAAACAAGTAAAATTTCTTACTCTAAAACTAATCCACAATGACCATAATTTTAGAAAATTCAGATGTGAAAAGTAAACTTCTATAGTTCATTACTACTATTAACACAATGCTGCTTTTAATGTTTGTCTTTCTGGCAATTAATACTTTTATCCTACTTTACCTAGTGTACTTCTGGCCATTCCTCTTTATTCTCTGATGATTTCAACACTTAGTTCACCATTTTTCCTACTTCTCAAATCCTAGCCTCTTGGGTAATTGCCAGTCAATCACTTGAATTTTCCATTTCTTTCTGAATTTTCTTCCTGCAATCATCTCTAATTTATCCATGTGTTCCTAGTGAAATACCCTAGAGCAGTCTACTTCTAGCAATAAATTCAATGACAAGTATCAAATTTTCAGGAGCTATCAAATGGCCATTTCGCCAGGGATTACATTTTCTAGCCTTCCTTGTGGCAAGGTGGCCATATGACTTAAGCACTGGACAGTAGCCTAGGAACAGTATAGTTGGATGCAACCTCTAAATCATATCTACTAAAGAGATAAAGTGATTACTATGTACTTCCTCTTTTATTACACTTTATTCTTAGTGTGTCAGAAAGTATTTTTCACAGTACCCCAGGACAAAAGAAATACCTACCAGTTCCACAGATTAAGTAGTTAGGCCCAAACAACCTAACACTTACATATGCTCTAAGTTAAGTAAGCTCACCAGCACTTGAAAAAGAATATACAATAAGTCTAAAGAAAATATAATATTTCTGTTATGAATGAAAAGGAGAATTTCTTACTACTACCATTTGTGTGTCTGCTGGATGCCTCACTTCTTCTCATGCTGTGGAATCAGACTGGAGACTGCCATCCTCATTTTCTGTTCTACATTAATTTTGATGAAATATTTGCTTTTAATTACAACCTAAAACCTAACTTTGCAAAAGATGTCATAAAAATACAAGTAAACCAAAACTTATCTCAAGCATTAAGAACCATCCACGATAAGGAATGCTGCAGGATCTAGTGCTGAAAACATGAAATATCTTGAGTTAGGAGTCTGCAGTGTCCAACAGATGCTGACTGTCACTGTGCTTCACTGGAAAATTTAAATCTTATGACAGCTCCATAAGTGTCCTGAGAAGCCCCAAGGCACCTCAGTGCCCAGGGCAGAAGTCACAGCCCTAGGGCATGGTGATCTGACAAGAGGCCAGGAAGTGGGATCTATACACAACCCACTGAAGCCGTGCAAATCACCTGGTCTGGACAGCCTGCGGATTCTGGAATGTTTCTTAAGAAGCGAACAATCTGTTTCATAAGGCTTCTCTATTGAAGCTTTTAAAATAAATATAATATTCATAGAGACAGATACATATGCCTAATTTCACATAACCACCTTAAAATATTCCAAGAGTGAAACAATACATAAAAATTCTGGGAAGATTATAATGAAAACCAGTTTATTTCTGAAATTCTATAGTATTTAGCATGTCATTTGAAAAAAGGAAAACAAATGAACTTTTACCTTCTAAATCTGAACTAGAGAAAAAATATTTTTGAAAACTATTAACAAATGAATATTATAATCAATGATTTAGTATAAAACAGAATCTCTTTTGTCCTTTTGAAGTTTTGAAAGAACCTAAAACCAATGAGGAAATAAACAGGTCAGTTTGAAATAAAATTTATTTACCTGCATATTAATCTCTTTAGAAATGAGAATACTGCTGCTAGGCAGGTACAAACTTTAAATAACCGAAACTGAGTGATGGCCATGATGGGTATCAAAACCTGTGGGAAAGGCATACAAAGATAAATGCATCAAATTGATTTCATAAGCCATATTCTTGTTCTTAAGTCAAGGTGAAAAGTCCTTATATAACTGAGAAAAATCAAACATTTTTATTTTTCCTCTATAAATCACAAATAGAACATTGTACCTTTTATGAAAATGTAGAACATAACAACAGAAGAAACTAGATTTTTAAAGAGTTTTCAGTAGGTGTAAGGAATAAACCTTTTTCATTCTGAATAGTTTCTGAAAATTATTTTCCTTATATTATCTATTTAATATAAATACAATTTTAAAAATCAAAATAGAAAACAGTATATACTGAATTTTTTTATACCTTTTGAAAGCTGAATAATGTGAATTTGCACTGTTCAAAGTATTTAAAACATTTTAATCTGTAGTAGTTAGGTTTTACTATACCCATTTCATAGATGGTCAACTTGTTCAAAGTAACATAGCTAATAAAGCAATCACAGAGTTTATCTAACTTCAGTGATTCACAGATCTAGGGGTCTGTTCAAAGAAATATTGATACCTGGGCCTCCTCTTAATAGTCAATTAAATAATATTCCCTGGTAGGGTTTGGTCACAGCCAATAAGCCAATAAGCTAACAAAGGTGATAAAAAGCTACGCAATAGAACAGGCAGCAGAAAATAGGAGAAATAACAGAGGGGACAAATTGAAAACAAACTGCAACATCATAGTGTTATAAACTTAACCATAACGTCAGTCATATTAAATGCCAACTGTCTGACACCCAAATAAAAACACAGAAACAGACTGGATAAAAAAGGAAGATCCTATTATATGTTGTCTTCAAAAATGCATTTTAAATATAAAGCTACAAATAGGTTAAAAGTAAAAGAATGAGGAAAATATACTATGTTAGCACTAACCAAAAGACAGCTGAAGTGAGTATTTTTTTTTTCAGCTGAAGTATTTTAATGTCAGACTTTAGAAAAAAGTATTTGGTACAAAAGTGGTCATTTCATAATAATAAAATGGTCAATTAATCAAAAGTATATAACAACACAAAAAATTTTGAAAAGTTTGCCAGTACTATAAGCAACTTTATGCTTATATTTGACAAGTGATATGAAACAGGCAAATTCTCTGTAAGATACAAATTACCAAAGTACAAGAAACCTCCAAATCTCTATTACTGATTAAAGAAATTGAATTTGCAGTTAGAAATCTTCCAGGTCCAGATGGCTTCACTGATAATTAGCCAACACCTAAAGAAGGCATAATACCAATTTCAAAACCGGCAAAAATCTGAAAAAGAGAGTTTTTCCCAACTCATACTTCACATCGACATTACACTAAAGCAAAGATACAACCAGAAAACAATACTAGAGACTAACACTTTAAGAAACTCCTTAACAAAACTCCGAAACAACATTTTGTTAAATTGAATCCAACAATACATAAAAGGATGATACATCATGACCAAGTGGGCTTAGCCCAGAATGCAGGGTCGACTGCACATTCAAAAATCAAATCCGATTCACTGTATAAATACACGGGGGGAAAAAACACTTAAGCATCTCATTAGACAGGAAAAAAAGGCTGACAAATTCAACATCTATTCTTGATTTTTAAAAAACAAAACCAGCAACTAAGAATAGAAGGGAACTTTCTCAACCTGATCAAGAACACTGAAAAACATCCAGTTAACATGAGGCTTAATGGTGCAAACTAGACACCCCTCCCTTAAGATCATGAACAACACAAGCATGTCTACTCTCCATGCATTTCTCAACATCACAGCGTAGGTTCTGGCCAGTGAACTCAAGCAAAAGGTATCCCAACTGGAAAGGAAGAAGTAAAACTCTGCCTATGAATAAAATCCAGTGGACTGTACACTCAATTGCATTTTTTTTGAGGGGGGTACTGGGGATCGAACTCAGGTCCTTGCGCTTGCGCAGCAGGCGGTGAAACCACTGAGCTAAATCCCCAGCCCAAATTGCATTTTTATAAGTTAACAACAATCAAAACTGCATTTTTATAAGTTAACAATCAAAAATTAAAAATTTATGAGCCTCAATAAATATGTGATACCTAAGGATAAATCTAATCTTATGAAATCTGATGAAACATTTGTATGCTGAAAACTACCAAAGATTGCTGAGAAAAATTTAAAAGACCTGCATTAATTTAAGAAGAACTTCACAGGGCTAAAACACACAATACTGTTAAGACATTAAGTCTCCCCAAATTGAGCAATAAATTCAATACAATCGCAATCAAAATCTCAGCAGGCTTTTTCTCCAAAACTTGGAAGCGCTAACCTAAAACCCATAGGGAAATTCAAAGAACCTATAATAACCAAAACACTAAGAAAAGAACAAAGTAGATGGGCTAACACTATCTGATTTCAAGACTTGCTATGAAGCCACAGTAATCAAAACTGTGTACAACTGGAATCAAGATATACAAACAGATCGAGGGAAAGTACAAAAAATAGACCACATTCATCAGAACAACTAAAACTGACAAACACGTAAAGACAGCTTGGGGAAAATGACAGCCTTTTTCAACAAAAGGTGCTGGAAAAATTGGGTTATCAATATGCAAATGACAACAACAAAAAAAACTTCAATCATATCTCACAGCACTTGCAAAACGTAATTCAAAATAGATGGTACATCTAATGTAAAATTTGAAAGTACGATAATTAAAAAAGAAAATCGATGTGACCCTGGATTAGAAAGATTTATTTGTAAGTACGATGGTCACCATCATTAAACATCATGGAAATGAAAATTAAAGCCACATTTAGAAACTATTACACACCTATTAGAATGGTTCAAACTAAAAATAACAGCCATACCAAATGACGGCAAGAATGTAGAACAGTAGAACTATTATACATCAGGGAATGTAAAATCGTACAATCACTTTGAGAAATAGTTTAGTAACTTCTTAACAAAGTTAAATAGACATCTACCACATTACCTGCCCATTCTAATCCTAGGAATTGACCTAAGAGAAATGAAAACACACACTCATCCAAAGACTTGCATCTGAATAACATCTTTAATAGCTTCAGAATGGAAATAACCAAAATATACATCAAAAGGTGACCGGCTAAACAAACTGTGATATATACAAGACATACAATGGAATATTACTCAGCAATAAGAATGAACTATTGTTACAAGGTAGAGCATGGATATATCTCGAAATAATTATACTGAATGAAAAAACTCAGAACATACCGCATGGTTTCATATATTAAAAACCTCTAGAAAATATAAACAAATATATAGTGGCAAAGCAGAGTGGTTTCTTGGGGTGGGGAATGAGGATGTGGAAAGGAAGAATTACTTATATGAGAAAACTTTTGGAGGTAATGGATACATAAAGATAAACACAGTTTTTTAATTTTCTGCAGTGCTCTTGGATGCCAGACAAGAGCTCCAACAATGAGCCACTTCCTAAGCCCTTTTAAAATTTTATTTTGACACAGGGTCTTGCTACGTCGCTCTGGCTAGTCCCAAACTTGCCAAGTATCTGGGGCTACAGGCTTATGCCACCCTGACCAGCAATATACCTGCATTTTGAAAGTGATGATAGTTTTACAAGTATCTGTGTAGCCATCAAAACTAATCAAACTGCACTCTTTATAGATATGTGCAAATTACTGCATCTCAATTACAGTTCAAAAAAGCTGTTAAACTACACAGAGACATTTGTGAACATTACGTCACTTAAGTTAGAAAAAGTTTCAGATTCTGATTCATATCTTGAAAGAAGTGATGAATACCATCGATGTCTTGTACTGACTATAACTCTAGGGAGCCAGTTTCCATCAGGAAACTAGGGCATTAGTAACAAACATATTTCCAAACTTCTCTAGGGACAGAGCTTTGATTTCACAACAGCATCTCAATATACTGTAACAGCTACTTCTTACGAAGCATTTGTTAGTGCTTTACATTTAGTAACTCATTTAATGTTCTTAACACCCCTGTGAAGCATCTGAGGAAAGTACTATCTGATCCTTATTTTAGATAGGGAAACCAAGGTAAATTAAGTACCTGCCCAAAAACATGGCGCTAATAAGTTCCCAGCATGGGATTTGAACCTGGGGAATGCATTCTAGTAGCTAAGTCCTTAAAGATCAAAATGCCTCCAACAATTGTTTAAGTAAACAGATATATTTCCATATAAAACAAATGCTATAGGAATTAAGAACTAAAGCCACAGCAATGATATAAATAAAAAAATTCTCAAAGACATTAAAACAGGTATAATTTTGCTAACTTTTAAATATGGTCATGTTTCCACAATGTTTCACACATACCACATATTAGTCACCCATACCATATATTACCTTAACATCCCTAGGAGGCATGATCAAAATATACAGTGAATGCTTAAAGAAAGGAAAAGACACATTGCTATTGATCCTCCTCATATACTCCCCTCTTTGAACACACTTAGTCTGTCATTCCTGCCACTTTCCGAAGCAGCTGTGGAAGCCCTCCTTGTGGGTGTCTTTGTAGGCATGACAAAAATACGGGGGATGCTGCTGTGAGTGACATCCGACAGAAAAGCTGGCACAGTATCTCACACCCCTGTGGAATGTGTCCTCACTCGCCCTATTCACCACATGGGGCACTTATGACTTTGGCTTTTCGCCAAAGTTAAAATGACACTGAAAGTGAAAACATTTTGAATCAGTTGAGGATACTGAGGCAGCCACAACAGGGCAACTAAACACTCATACAATTTCTTCTTCAGAAATGACTAGGATGGGATAAATGTGTTCAAAATAAGGGCCAGTGTTCTAAGGGAAATTAATAACAATGTCTCTTTTACTATAACAAATTTTTTAAAATTTAAACATTCACCATACTTTTCAATTGTATTGTGTACTTATTTTAAAATTCCCTAAAATGAACTCTGACAAAGTTAAAGCTGCATGTATCAAATAATCATAAATTCCCCCTTTCAAACTCAAATGCAAAAGAGCGGAAAGGAAAATAAAATATAGTAATCCATGAGAGACGGTCATTTTTCCACTTTTGAGAGGTAGAACAGATCATGTTAAGTCACAAGAAATTACACAGGGATACATACGCACACTCACAGGACTGTTTCTTACATTGAAATTTCATGTTGTAGCCTTTCTTTGCCTTTTACTTGTTGTTATGGTTTGGGGCTAGATGTCCCCCTAAAGCCTCATGTGGTCATAGCGGCTTTTTCAGAGATGGCTGAATCTAGAATGTGTGATGCTGGGATTAAGGGCGTGTGGTTACTAAACCAGTCCACTGATTGATTGGTTTTGTACCGCCCTAGTCCCAGCAGTCTGGATGAGACAAAACAGGCAGAAAGACACTGCTAAGGTTCTCTTGTTGCTTCTGCAACTGCATGGGCGCCATGAACTCTTTGTCTTCTGTGACGCCCTCTGCCATGTGCCACCCTGCCTCGGAGCCAGTCAATTATGGGCTGAAACCTCTACAAACAGTGAGCTAAATAAACCTTACGCCTTTAACTCTGGGTGTTGAGTATTTTGTCTCAGAAATGAAGACAAAAGTAACTAACACACTTGTCCAAGGAGGAAGATTACTGAGCATTTAGAATCATGATTTCTGTGTTGGAATAACTTGATAATATATAACGTCCAATTTCTAAATTGTCTAAATGAGGAAACTAGATAACCTGAACTTAACTGTGCTGCTCAAGGTGAAGTAACAAGTAATAAAGTGACAATGAAAACTCACTGGAGTTTCTTAACTCCAGGGGAGTAATTTCTTAAAACTAAAAGGGAAACTGGAAAATGTGGTATTTTTTTTCAAAACAGAAAAACAGTATATTTGAATTTCAGTTCTATACATATTTACTTAAAAGGGCCTAAAACCCGACTTAATAACTATCAGGTAACCACCATTAAACAGCTAAGTATTCCTTCTCAAGATTTAAATACTGTTTAGTTTCTGAAATTACTTACGAGTGTAAAATAAGCAACAACCTTTATAAACATAACAAGGATTAAAACTGATTTGGATAAATATAGCATCACTCTTCTAACATGCTGTTTTAAAATAATTACATAGGAATTAAAGCAGAGAGAAATGTTTTTTTCCTCAACTCAACTTACATTAAGTGGATTAAAAATTAAATGGCAAGAAAACAGTGGTTATCTCTAGAGGAAAGGTATGGAAACATTAGGAAACCAAGATCTATGTATCTCGATCCTGAGTAATAACATCATATATGCTACTGTATAAACTATAACAGTTAAAGCGCACACGCATGTGCGCGCGCACACACACACATACACACACACAAAGAAAACATACTTAATTCTCTGGATACCTGATATTTCCTACTCTATAGAGCCAGTACTGCAGCTCCTTCTAAAATGCAAAACACACAGCTAGTTATTTCTTTTTCCAGGGTTGAAACAGGCTTTTAAAGATGCAACAGTAAAGTTCCAAAAAGTTCCCTTAGCAATGCTTTTGAGTTTTTGTACGTATGGAAGTATGCTGAATGACTTACTAAATGTCTGTGCGTAGACATTAGTAGTATGGCCCACTACTTGAGAAGGTGGGAAGAACAGTGACTAAAAGACAGTGAACCAGAAGAAATTAAGAATTATACTGTTCAAGTAATTTAAATACTTCTATCATATGCACCCCCAATCAGTGGTTTAGTCAGGTTCAAAAAATGTAATGACATTGACTCCTTATCAGTTTATACCCAAACTATCAAAAAGATATTATTCAGGCCAGAGATTTAGCTCAGTGGCACCACACCTGCCTTGCAAGCTCACGGTCCTGAGTTCGATCCCTAGTTCCAAAACAAAAGAGATATTATTCAATTTCCCAATATTGTCCATATTCTTTCCTAGTTTCACTGCAATCTGCTTGGTATAAACCTTTATCTCGTGCTCAATTACTGTAAAGTCTTCTTAATTCCAGTATCTTCCTCTGAGAAACTTAACATTTTCGATTTTGTACTATATCTCTGTTCTATATGGCTTACCTGCTCTGGGGAGGACTGTATTCATCTGGTACCTTCAGGTACCATTTGCAAAGTAGAATGACTGGAAAGAAACATTTGATTGATTTATTATGAGTAGAATTAAGATGATGAACAAGAGCTTTATTTCAAGCTGATTTCTCAAGAATAAAACTCTCAGCCAAAAGGAAAGGAAACTTGCCCAAATGAAAATTGAGCACAAATTTTTATAAAATTACATTTAAAAAGAGCTATCAGAGAGATTTATAACATGTGACTCTTGTGGAAAAGGGAAAAGATACTTTAGCAGAACATTTTCAAAGAAAATGGCATTCAGTATTTAGGGGTTGGAGATGGGTCAGTCTCAGGACACACGTGAATGAAAGGCTGAGACCAAATTTCCTTTAGAGCCTCAGTCACCCAGCCATTCCTTCCCACAAATGTGGCTGGTGTCAGTATTCAATATATATTTGGCAACATGAATGACTCCAACAGCAACTGGAAATAAAATTTAAAGTTTTTTCCAAGTGAAAAACAAAACCAAGCTAGGCATGGTAGTACACGCCTGGAATCCCAGCACTCTGTGAGGCTGAAGCAGGAGGATCCAAGTGTGATCTCAGCCTGGCCAAGCAACTTAGTGACTTAGCAAGACACTGCCTCAAAAACTGTTTTAAAACAGGGATGTAAGCATAGTGTGAAGGCCCTGGATTAAGTTCTTGGTATCGCAAAAGAAAAAAAAAAAGGCAGACTATTATTGATTACGGAATGGATTTCTCTCCCTACAAATTAAGAAGAGACTCATTCTGTGGAAAATTTGCAGTTGGGATTAATGAAAGAGGAGCACCAATATTCACTGGCCATTTCCTACACCAAGTAACAGCTCACTGATGCCACAAAACCATCTCAGGAGAAAGATGGCACTGTCCTCCTTCCACAGGACTGAAGCACACACTAAGCAAGTGTCCCCACTGTCCCACATCTAATGACTTGGCTTCAAACCCACACTGATTTAATTCGAAAGCCAGGAACACCTCACTAACTATGAACATTTGTAGTTTAGTGAAGAGATTATAATTTCCAGGATAAAACTCCCAACCAGTTGCAATGAAAGGGGCAAATACAATCAAACTGCCTATCAAGAACCACTTCCGATTTTATCAATTACATTAATTTGCAGACATTAATATTCTTCAGAACCCATATTCATATCTGTTCCAATTCAATTAAATGAATATATATTAGCACCAACTACATAACAGACGCTACACTAGATTTCCAGAAAAACACCCCCAAACCAGCAGAGAACCTCCATAACCGCTCAGTTACCGGGAGCTTGTATACACACTGATTCCTCTTCAAACGCAGGTGACTTAAAGTGGCAGGCCCGAATCAGTGCGGCTCAGTTTGGGATTTCTAGGCCTTAGCCAATGCCTGGCACAGAGTTCTGTACCTGCTAAGCTCAGATATTTTGGGAATGAAAGGAAATTAACTTCCCTTGAGCGCTTACTTCAAGACACAGGTTCTACCACTTCACTTTAATCGGAAGGGCAATCAGAAGAGGAAGACTTTACTATTCCCGTTCAACAGACGAGGCTGGGGATTAGCCTGGGCCACAGATGCATTCACCCAGGATTTAGACACTGACCCTGAGCTGTCACATCTGACTGCACTTGAAAAACCTTTTAATGTATACGCATTGCTCAGTATTTTCGAAACGCCCGCTAGATCACCAATTTGAGAAGTATGTATCTAAGGTTTGCATTTGGGATGCTCCAAATTTTTAGAAATCTGCAGTACTAAAATAATCTAATTGTAAAATTAAAGTTTTCTTTGAAGTTTCTAGGAAAATACAGAAACTTGAGCTAGCAGAATAAAGTTCAGGACTACGAAGCAACTTGTCTTCAGGGATTTTGGAGAAAGGACATCGCTAGGAAATCAGCAGGAATGAGAGCCCTGCTATGTCCATCGGGAAAGATTTTCCTACAATTTAAAAAACAACGCTGCATTAGAAACTGAGCAACTAATGATATCCTTCCTTCTGGTAATTTTCAGGAAACTGAAAATCCTATAGCGGTGGATCCACTATATCACAATTTATTAAATCAGTCTAAGTTGCTACACACTTGCGTAAGCAAGTGCTGTATTTCCGAAACTGCACTGCTGAATTTTTTCATACCAACACTTGAAAAACCATATAATCTCGTACAGAGTATCTTCACATGAAGTCTGCAACTCTCTGAAGTAGGTTAAGGATCACAAAGCCCCAACCTAAAATTTACCTGGACTTTCTCCTAAATGTGAAAATCAAAAGTGCAGCAGCGGCAAGTGAGAGAAGCTGAATGAGAAGTGGAGTTCGGGAGGCCGGCTGCAACACGTTGACATTTTTTTTCCATCCCTGGCAACTGAAAGCCAGGCCCGGGGCTGTCACCAAGGCAGGCTAAGGTCTCCTGCACGACCAAACTCAGAGTTTCGTAACTAAAATAGTTTGATTTCAGACTACCCACTTCAAATGGGTATGGGGGAAATCATACCCACTGCACGGATGAGAAAAGCAACCGGGCGTTTTCGGGGCGCCCCAGCCCACGCCCGCGGACGGAGTCACGGGAGCGCGCGAGCCGAGGCGGTGGGGCCGGGGCCGCGCGCTGGGCTCGGGGTCAGCCCGGGGGCTGGAGGCTCGCAGGCCTGGCTCCCACGCCGCCCCCCGCGGGTTGCGCTCCGCTCACCCCGAGGTCAGCCTGACCCGGAAACAGTACCCCGAGAGGCGGCTGGCGCGGGGGAGGCCGGCGGAGGGGCGCCGAGGAGCCCGGAGGCGGGCCGGGCCGGGCCGGCCGGGAAGGAGAGCCCCTCGCGGGCGCGCGCGAGCTGAGCACACTCACCTGCCCCTCCCCCGCCCGCCCCTCCGCCCGGCGGAGGCTCCGAGCTGCCGCGGGCCGCGCGCACAGGAGGCGCGCGCGCTGCCAGTTTCCTCCTCAAGCCCGCGCTCCGCGTGTGCAGTCCCGGCCCCGCTCATTCAAAGCCGGGCGCGCGCTCGGTCGCGGCCGCCGTCGCCGCCGCGCAGCTGCCGTCACCGCCCCTCTCCGGGAAGCCCGCCCCCGGCCCCTCTCCAGCCCCTCCCCCAGCTCCTCCCCGACCCCGCCTCTGCTCCTGCAAGGTGGCTCTGGTTATCTCCAGGCCCTCAACATCCGGGCCCCGCCCCACGTCTTGTCTAGCCCAATAGGCGGGAGGTTGAGGGTCGGCATTGGGACTCGTAACCCGTGAAAGCCGAGGGGCGGGGTCAGCGGCGACCAACACGTCGACGTTTAGTCACGGGTGGGTTTTGAGACCGTTGCAAACTCTTTCGGCTTTTTGGTCGTGGAGAGGCTGGGCTTGTGCCAGGTTATCCAGCCTCCCTTCTCTGTAGTGTCTCTTCCAATCAAGACCTTTTGTGAGCCATCCACAGAACCCCCTGTGTGGAGAGCGGTGTTAGCTATAGAGGCTCCATGTTAAATCTTACCCTCCATTGTATAGAACAAGGAGACTATGTTACGAGGAACCGCGTCCTTGCCGAATTAGATGTTTACCTTCGGAGATTGCCCTGGAGCATGATGAACGTTTTGTAAGCCCGAGAAACGGGAAGGCCCAGGAGGGTGGGGAATTCCCAAAGAACTAGAAAACAAGGAAGCAGGTGTCTCTGGATAAGGGTCATGATGAACAGCCAAACTCACCGGTGAATAAAAGAAGGAGAGTGAAAAGCGTGGGGCACTCGCTCTCACTCTCTCTCTCTCTGAGAGGCTCCCGACTCTATCTCTGCGTCTTTCTTTCTGCGTCTTTTTCTTCATCCTCACTCCCCCATTCAGGTACTGTTCTACAAGTGACGGCGGGCTCCGTCAAGCTGTTATGAGTTTTGCTGCTATAAAAATGGGTATGCGTGTTCCCAAAATGGGTTGCTCCCCAAATACAGTGCAGCTTCCCCTTTTCAACAACCCAGATATTTGGTTTGATCTAGATGGATTGTCTTTCAGGTTGGTTTTCCATTTCTTCAAGTGATTGCCTTCTCCTTTTCAGAGTACCTGTATTTTTCAGTGACTCTTCTCTGAGTATTTCTAATGTACCACCCTTTCTAATCGGCCATGTTGGATTTCCTCCTCCCATAATTCTGGTAGAGTAACAAATTCAATTCTTTATACTGAGTGAGAAGATTATTGGATTGCTGATGTTGCCATGAGGCTATATGAAAAGCCATCAACACACTGCATCCTGCCTTCCAGAAATAGCGAGGGATCAGCCAAGCCTACATCCAGATTCCTGCTCAGCATGATACTACCTGGATCCTGGAGCGAGGCACTTTTCTGGTTTATTATATGCCAGGGATTCTCCTCTGATCTGGCAGCCTTCAATAAATGGCCTTGAGATTTAGGCTGTGAGCAATTATTTAATTATCTTACCTATTGGAGATCCGGGATAGTTCTCTGCACTATAAAAGCAAGTGATTCTTATTAACAATTGAAGGTTTTTAACCAAGGTATATCTCAGTTAAGAGCAAAGAAACTCATCCACCTGTTTTTGTGTGACTGTTCTAAATATGTATGTATACTGCCATATTGTTGTTTAGTTATAAGAAAATTTATTTCATCATTTAGTCAGTACTTAGTGGTGGTTCATAAAAGAACATTTCCTGTGTTTTGCAGTTTTTACATGTATATATACAGAACATACAAAATATCAATCTCTAGATAAAGAAAAATATTGTTTTTGTTGTCTAACCAGTATTAAAATAAATGACAAAGGATTATGGTAATATTTTTTAAAATGTGTGTTTAAATTTTAAAAAGTTATTACAATTTTTAAAATTATTACAGACATATCAATCCCCTTTAAAATATTCCCTGTCCCTTCCTTCAGACACACTTATCCCATCATTTTTGCTATTTTCTGAAGCAGTTCTGGAAGTCCTCTTTCTTGAGTGTCTTTAGAAAGTGTGACCAAAAATACAGTAAATGCTGCTGCAAGTACCATCCAACAGAAATGCAGCCTCATAAAAACTACTCAGTGTCCTCATCCATGTTATTCACTGCATCTGGCACCAGTGACCTGTATCTTTTCCCCAAAGTCAAAATGACCATGAAAGGTAAATGTTTTGTATTGATTCAGGACATCGAGACAGCCATGATGTGCAACTAAAGACATGAAAGAGGGACTTCCAGAACTGGTTCAAAAGTGGCAAGAACCATGCGATAAGTGTGTTCAAACCAAGGGGGAGAATTTTGAGGGTAATTGATGGCAGTGTGTTTTTTACTGTAGTAATTTTTTAAATTAAATATTCACTGTAGTTTTTAATCACATCTGGCATATCTACTATAGTACTTTTGATCTTTTTTGCATGATTAATTAAATATTCAATAATTAATAAGGCTAGAATGTTGTAAGACCTATGAGAAAATCATGGCAATGGCCATGTTTTCTTGTTCCTGTGAACAGTTTTCCAGGTTTGAAACACAATAGTGCTGCCATGGGGTCATGCTGCACTGTAGGTGGCATACTCTATTCTCATGTAATTATACAGTAGTTCTTTGTTGGCTTCCCTTATTAATTACTCCCTTCAGGAGGCTGAGGCAGAAGAATCACTATGCATTCAAGGCCAGCCTGAACTACATAGCAAGACCCCATCTCAACAGAAAAAAAAAAGGAATAATTACTTTGGCTTATATGAAAAACTTTATAACAGTGATAACAATTATTGCATCTGAAGATTTAAAACATCATTATTTTTAAGAATCAGTGCATTTTTTGTTTTGTATACTATTTCAATTTAAAGCTTATCATCACAAAAGAAGAATAAACTTAGCACATTGTGG